ATCTACTCAGGTCCCTTCCAACCCTAGAAACTATGAAACAAAGAAATGATTCTGGAGAATACGGGACTTTATTTTGATTTTATATTCATGCTGTTATGAGAGCATTTTAACAAAGAAAAATTCTACTGGTACTTCCATTGGTTCACCTCCATCATTTGTAGCACAAATTTGTGTCATGTAAGTACCAGTAGATCCTATTGATTGATTTGTAGCACAAATTTGTGTCATGTAAGTAATTTGTAGCACAAATGTGTCATGTAAGTACCAGTAGTTCCTATTGATTGATTTGTGTCATGCTCTGACACGGGTAGGCAACCCCTGGCACATGTGCCAGAGCATGCCACAGGAAGGCATTTTGCTTGGCACTTATGCCTGAGGGAAGGGTCTGGGGCTGTGCTGCCATGACAAGGACTGGATCTTTCGCAGCTCCCCGAATGTCTGCCCCTGGAATGCCAGCATCTGACAAGTCAAGGATGCCCCAAAAAACTTGCTGATCCCTACTCTGACAGCTGTTAACATTTTTACAACTCTTGTCACTTGAACTTGATCTGGACAATTATCATTATGTATGTGGCCTCTCCCTCACCTCCCAACACCTCGCCACACACATACACCACCACCAATTTGAGTTGGAAGGACATATGTAGAATGTCTGCTCTCAGGTTTAACTGAAATCTACTTAAGTCTAAAACCTTGAGCAGTCATGGATGCCATCAGTCTTTTTGTTTTGCTATGCTTCTGTAGTCTAAGCTGGACAGCTGAGAAGGTTACTTTGTTTGCAAAACGGATACCACCACTTCTGCTTACTATTTTGATGAAATCAATTTCAGCATAGAAAATATATTCCCAGCTTTGTTATAAGCCACTAGCAGCGATCTTCCAAAAACCTGCATTTGGTATTGGGTAATACAGTGAAAGCGGGTATATTTTATGAAAGTGTATATAGTAGTGCTAAAGCTGGCTACACATAGTAAGTCTTAGTGAAAGTTGAATTAAATAGCTTTTGATTTGTTTACAGTTGGATAATTTTGTCCACAAGATCTATTTAAATACTTTTAGAAAAAAAAATAAAATAAAAAAAACAAACAACAAACAACCCAGCTTGGGTTTAATTAAATACTAACATAGTATGCCATTTTTAAAATACTGAAATGATATATGTTTTATATTGGTTGAATACTCATTAACTATGTCAGTGTAGACTGTTCCCCTAAATGTGCCTCCATAAATAGTCACACCACAAATATACTTTTTCTTCTACCATCTTAGCATGTCCTTGTGGAAATAACTTTAATCAGAAAGAAATTTCTATTTACAGTTTATCTAAATGGATCATATACTTTATTTAAACCTGCTGTCAAAGCAGGAGGCCCAGGAGCAGATGAATTTGGAGTCCATTCTGCTAGAATAAAGGCAGCTTACACACTTTGCCTTTAAAAAAATATATCTGCTTTGGAGATTTGTACATTTGCTCATGCCAGTTTAGTTCATCATTTTACTCAGTATTTTTACTCTCATTGCTATTTGGTGTTCATTTAGGGAAGTTACTTCACTTTCTAGGCTATCATTCATTTTTTAGCCATGCTCTTAGAGCAGTGACTTTTTGCTGATCTGTCCAAAAGGAAATCTATAGAAGCATTTCATGAAGTAGTAAGGAAAGCTAACTTACGGTAGCTCTCTGAAGCAGATGTTAAAGCAGCTGCAGGATTGGGGCCTGAAAAATTGTATGCCTCATCTGCAGAAGTGTACGACCTGCCATGGTAGCTGTGCACAGCAGAACTAATGATTTTGGGTACCGGGCATAAAATTCCCTAGATCCCAATCACTTGGCTGCCAGCTGTCAGTGTGTGGGGAGTCGCACATAGGATGCCCTCAGCACTGCTCGTGCTGGCAGGTTTCCTATTTTGCCCTGCAGCCTGACCCATCTGTCATTTCTGTGGGTGCTTCCCACAGGTACCCAGATGTGCAGCTGGAGCTTACCGTTCCCCACCTGCTTTTTAAAGTTGAGAGACAGGACACTATGAGCCCAACATTGGGAAGAAGCTTACAGTGCCTGGTGAACTGTTAAAAAAAAATCAGGCACACAGTAGGGCACTGTGAGCCTGACATCAGCCTTCCTGATATCAGGCTCATGGTACCTCTTCTCCCCACATCTGCTTTCATGGATTGGATGGTGGAGAGGGGAAGCCAGGGCCAGAATTCAGGGATGCCCTCAGCCTGATCCTGCTGATCAGGCAAGGGTCAGCTGTATCCTGGACTCTGGGACTGCCTCATGCCCAATCCTAATAGCTGAATGTTGGGATCTGGCAGGGGCAGCCATGCCACACATTCAGTTCAAAGTGCGATGCAAACTAGCCACAAAGATGTATTGTGCACACACACACAACGCGTATAGAGAAATGCGCACACAATATTTTTACAACTCATTTGCTAAATTATCATATTGTAAATTGTCTTTAACATTAGCATGTTATGATTTATGGCATAATTGATACCTTAATTGTGCCATAAATACAACATCTACCATCTCTATAGACCCATACTTGTCATCTACTTCCTTGAGTGTGGACACACAATACGGAGTGATTTACCCCAGAATTTACTCCATAGTAAATTCACTCAGTCGCCAAGTAGACAAATGACCTGTACTTACTTCTTTTCCAGACCTGAGGAAGAGCAAGTTGTGCTCAAAACTTGTCTAACATCTCTCCCAACTATATAGTTGGTCCTATAAAAGATACCCAAAAAAGCCCTTGCTTCTTGAATATTCCTTGGACCATAATAGCTAAAACAGCACTACATCTCTCCCAAACTGGCTGTCTGCTGTAGACCCTGTTACAGTAATGGGCCATGTCATGACAGGGATACCAACTAGCACCCCAGGATCAAACTGAGGGTAGGGGTGTGGACACAGTCTAGTTGCTCCTTACTTTGAAGAGTAAGTTTAATGACTTATGCTAATGCAGGGCTGGCTGTTATGTGTTCACTCAACTTCTGCTTCAGAGTAAACATATTGTGTGTCCACACCGGTTGTTTTTGGGGGGTTTGTTTGTTTGGGGGTTTTTTGTTATCCTGCACTGGATTTCAGACAGCACTATGAATGTGAGAGTAATATGGACCAGGGTGTTTTTATAGCATTTGCTTAATATACTTGATTTTATGGGAATAAGCTGTGTTTGGACCTGATGGATAGTTTTCAAAATGGATTGGAGTTTTGTGGAAAATGATAGATCATAAAGGCAAGTCATATTATTATGATTGCCATGTAGGTGCATAGATTAAACAAAGGCAAAAATGTGTGGAGACTCACTGGTAAGTACTAGTAAATTTTCTTCGAAAGTCAGTCATATTTTGAAGAAGTTGGTTTCTTTGTAATAGAAACATTATTTGTGTAGGTTTTATTAGTAAATAAATAGATTTCTTTCTAGGAAGCTAAAATATTGATTTCATTTGTGGTAAAGTTTCAAAAGGGGTAAAGTTTCAGAGTATCAGATGGTTCTGATATTGTATAGTGTAGTAGAAATAGCGCGTGTGCTTATGTATGCATAACTATTTGTCTATGTAAATAATGAAATGTTTACACTGAGCATCTGGCATTTAGGCTATGCTGATCTTTTCACGTTTCCTTTTTTTCCCCCGAACTGCAGGAGGGACACAGAGGTTACCTCGAACAATTGGTGTATCTCTAGCAAAGGAACTAATCTTCTCTGCACGCGTTGTAGATGGTGAAGAAGCAAAATCAATAGGATTGATCAGCCATGTGGTACAACAGAATGAAGCAGGGGATGCTGCCTACAGAAGAGCTTTGGCTCTAGCAAGAGAATTTTTACCTCAGGTACAGCAAATAATGATGTTCTAATTTTGTTTCTGTTTTGGAGAGGGTTGTCTCACTCCAGGTCAGAACAGTGACCCAGGTACGTTAAAATAATAATGTTACAGTAGAAAATGTGTAAAAAGTGCCCCTTCTAAACACACAGACAGAAATTGAAAGCTGTCACATGTTTCATGTTGTTAGTTGGGAGTTACCTCACAGTGAGGCAGATAATCCTGTCTCATCACCGTATTTGCATTATTTTGATCTTTGTCTTTGCATTGTTAATTTTTTGCTTTCATATTTTAAACCTGGCAAATTAATGTCACAAAACATTTCCAAATGAAGTAAGAAATTCAAGAGGCATCTCTTGTTATTGCCAGAATAAAACGGATCACTTTTTGAGAAAGAGAAAACAGCCAAATGAAAGTAGAGTCCTTCTCTATGTCTTTTAAACTATGATGAATTTCTCTCTTGGTCCTTTGGCCCAGAAAAGTCTGAATTTCTCAGTATGATTTGCCAAGGTAAAAGGCGCAGGTTCTCTGTATTGAACAACATTTAATAAATAGACGCTGTCAGTGTTTAAATCTTCTTCCTTTTTCATAATTATATTTATTACTAACATCACACTGGAAACTTAAACTTTATTATCAAAATTAATCATTTTTTTCCATTTATTCAATATCTTGTTTTTACTGGAAGAACTGTTTGTTTTCTTTCTGGACCATTTGCAACCGTGCAGTCATGTTTCATGTTCATGCACTGTTCTAGGTTGCAAAAGTAACCATATCAGAGAGACATGAAATACAGTTGTGTTATTAAAACTCACATTCCAAAGATTCAACATTAGATAGCTAGACATACGTTAATTCTGAGTTGCCTTATTGCAAAATATCCCTGTTAACTTCTCCAAGACTAGATGGGCCTGTTGTCTGATTATTCATGACAATCAAATGTGGAACATGTTGAGGGAGCCTTTATTTAGCTGGATATTCTCCCTTGCTCTCAAGGAACTGCATAGACATTAGTGTTTCTGTTCACAGCACATAAAGTTATGTTCTACCGTACTTTTCAGTCAAAAGAAATTTATCTTTCTCCCTCCATGTAACATGTAAACACAGGAAATCTGGTTCAGTTTACATGCCCCAAATACTAGAACTCCAGCAAAATCTAAATGTGACCCTCCTGAAAAACAGACTACAAGAGCTTTGTGATGATTGATTGAGGTTGACTGTATTCTGCACCAATCCTGCCCATTCCAGAAAAAATGAGAAAACTGAACTTGACCTAATCAGCACTTTTGTACCTTCCCCCCACCAATACGCAAAAATTCTGTTTATCCGCTTGATGTTACATTGCTAAGATTCTAGATATTTTGAATTTTTATAAATGAAAATACTATTTTTTTAAGCCTTTACTGATGACTCCACTGGACCGTCCAAGTGTGTCTTGTCTTCCTAGGTCAGTTGTGTAGACTATAAATCCTCTGGGGTAGAAACTGTCTTGATATTAATTTAATACTGAAGAACTGAGTACTTTGTTGACACGTAGCAAATTAATAATCTTCTGATGTGCTTCATGGTCCTTAGAAAAGTCCCAGTTCTCAATCACTGCATGTTCATACTGAGTTCACAAACAAATTAAATGTCTCCAGAGATAACACTTTTGCAGGAGACTTTATGCAGTAGCACCAAAGAAAATGTTATGAGGGTGGGAGGGCAGAAGATACAGACATGTCTAGAATATGAATGTGGTTTTGGAACCCTTTATAAACCCACTTTTCTACTGAAGACTTTTCAGAGTGACTACTCCCAGTCTGTAGTAAGTGCCTGTAAATAAAAATCCTTATATAGCTAACCACTAAATTTGGCGTACAACAGTAACTGCAGAAATCTTGCCATTTAGAATTGGAAAGACTGCAAATTAAGCAGCAAATTAAACTGCTGTTGAAAATAATTATTGATTTTATTTTTGAAACATGGTTACAAAGTGTGACATGAAAAAAGGAATACAAATTTTCATGTGAGGCCTGGATTATGATATATAACTGCAGCTTTTCATTGGAGTTAGTTTAGGGGCTTTGAAGTCAGACAAAACATCTGCCAGCTCTTTGGGGCAGTGTTTGTGTTTGTGAACACTTCTGTCACCGGTATGCAGAGTACTTGCACAACTGGAGTAATAGATTCCCATGGAGCCTAGCCAATCTGTGGGACACATTAGAAGGGTAGTTAGGGACCTTGCACACACTCTTACCCCCTTACTCTGCCCTCAGAAAGAAGTCCACTGGAATCTGACTGTAGGCATTTTTCTGAGCTTTATGCATTTCAGTTTTGAAGGTATCTTTTTTTCCTTTCCTTTAGTTTCAGATGCCATGCATCCTTATAGTATGATCATTGGGACATCCATGATAATTACACAGATTCATGTAATAACTTTCTGGTTACTCTAAGTGTAATGTTTAAAGGTATTGAGCACCCTCAATTACAGCTGAAATTCATAGGAGCTGCTCAGGCTCAGCACCTCTAAAATTGAGGCCATAATTTTTTTTCTCAGTTTTTTTAAGTTATACACTACCTTTAGATTTTCTTAGCATATATATTTGGAGTAAAATGTGGTCATATTAGTAAGGGTGTTAAAATCTGTTAGTTGTCTCCTTAACTTAGAGTCTGCATAATGCAAAAATGACAGTATCTCTTTGTAGACAGTTCAAATCATAATCTTGCTGTATGGGTTGACTTGTAACTCTGATTCATTTTTTATTTTAGGGACCCGTAGCAATGAGAGTTGCAAAGTTAGCCATCAATCAGGGGATGGAGGTAAAGATATATTTATTTCTAACTGAGAAGAAGCCTGGAAAAGTGAAGGTGTACTAAAACATGCGTTTAAAAAGGAGTGAATGAGTTTTTAGTGGATCTTTCAAATCCTTTATTCTCTTACACTTTTGAATATAAGGCCCTTCTTTAGAATGAAAATGTCTTGTAAAAATAGCCTGAATCTTAAATTTGAGTAAAAAACCCCAAGAGTTATTATATATCTCATCTAGAGGCTGTATCCTTGTAAATGTGCTGGTATTTGTTGTTTTATTTTTACCTTAAATTAAGTCAGAAAACTTGGCTAGATCTAGCTTAAAACTGAAAGCAACGGGGGTTCTTTTCATACTTCTATGCTGATTTCATGCTCATGGGGATATGGTTAATGCTGACTGGACATTGCAGTAACAGTGTTTCGTAATGCCACCTTTGTTAGCAACTTTTTCAGTATGTTTATTATCAATGCTAGCAAGTAGGCATAAGGTTTGTTGAATACTCATTCAGATGCAAGGCTGGGGAAGAAGGTGATCTTAAACTCATACTCGTCATACTGTCAAGACTATCTTTGCTGTTTCAAGTCCAAATTCTATGAAAGACCAGAAAAGGTCACTCTTATAATAGTTTATGGTAGAATACCATTCAAATTATATAAAAATCTAACATAAACCAAATGCAACTCAATGCACTCTTCTGATTCAGCTCTAGAATTCTTAAGACCCAGCCATGAGCACTCACACACATGCTTTACTTTAAACATCTGAGTCATCCTGCTGAGCTCAGCTGGATTACTTACAGGCTCTAACTATATGGATAGGTCTTTGCAGTGTTCCTTCTTGAAGCTCACTTTGGCCCAGAGAACAGCGTGGGAGAAGTTGCATCGTATTGGGATTATAATGCATAAACTAAGGTTATAAATTGTAGGATAATCATGCAGTTTTTTACATAATTGAGCTTAAAAGGTTACACTACTGATTAATTTAACCCTTAAAGTAAGAGACAAAATCAGAAGCAGAAGTACAAAATGTGTACATTAAGGTCATGTGCAAGTTATGCCCTGAGTATATGAACAGAGTTGTCTTGAGACAGGGAACCTTGAGGCAAAAATCTGGAGGTAACTCTAACAGCGTGACTACGTGAGTGACCTTGTTCTGGAAAGAATTAACCCTGGATTGAAACTAGGATAAAATTTCCCGAGTTTGGACATATATTTATCTCAGTTCAAGGGGTAGTATTACCACAGCTATTTTTTTTCTCAGAACAGCTGAGGTTTTTATAGGACCATTTATATGTCCATGGTCTTGCTTGGTTTTTTGTTTGGGTTTTTTTGGTTTGGTTTGGTTTTTCATTGATCTTCCAAAGGATACAAATACAAGATTGATTTCAGTAATATACAGGTGAAAATTAGTGCAAGATAAATAGTCTTGGTTCCAAACAAAGTGGGTCTGTGGATCAGAAGATGTCAATCTAATATAATTGAAGCCCAGATGTAAGAAGCCAATAAAAGAGCTGGTCTCTGATGCCAATAGGCGATGCTTATGAAAAGCTGATAGCTGAACCATGAGGAAGTAGAGGAGGGGAAAATTCAGCCCTTGAAACAGTTCAGGCTGCTACTCAGAAATATTGTGCAGGTTATAAGAGATGGTCTGGGACCATTATTTGTCTGTGTTGGAGAAACACATACTTTACTATAGCCATATTTTAATATTACATAATAAAACATTTCATTAAAATTGTAGTATAACTTAAATTTTATAGCAATTTTTATAAAATGAGTGCTTTTATATGCACACAGGCCAGTGTTATGGTACATTATGATAAATATGTTAATAGTGAATGCTATCCATGGAGCAAATAAAGGACACCTTTATATCTATAATTTACACTGGTCAAACATATCAATAATAATAAAAGCAAAGTAGTAGAACATTAAAATATTCTGTTCTATTTGGCCAATGTGTATACAAAAGTGATATTTTGCAAAACTAACTATTGAGTATGAAAGTGCAGTTCTTTCACAATCTTCCATATATTACATTATAGAAATATTATGAAATTGTTCCTTTTTAGTAGGTGAAACTGCCATCAGGACACATGAACTTTGTCCTTAACAACAGATGAAATTTGTTAGTGCTTTGGAAGTGCTAGAATTGTAAGATAAAATTCCATAACAAACTTTGACATGCGTAGCATCTAGCTCACTTTACAGGAGGTGCAATTTTTTTATGTTGTATGCTGATGAGTAACTTTTCAGTTGTAAATAATATCTGTTATTAAGTATGTCAGTGTTTGGGGACATTTCTTTATTTCTTGGATTCAGGTAAATCTAGTGTTTTTTAAATCATCATCAGTGATGATCTGTAATCAGTTAATGCTAGGTTTCTGACCTCTTGTAGCTGAAATAATTAAAAATGTACAGCTAATTAATTACTTTGGGTCACTTCATAGTGAAGACCATCCATTCTGTGTTCATGTCTTATTTTTGGCAATCTGTTAAATAGTCATTACCTCTCAGAATAAAGAAATTGATTACAGAAATAGTAATCTTTCCTTAACCACAGGATACAAAAAAATTCTGCATCAAGGTAGGGACTTCCTAGAACTGTATTAATATTTGTGTTTAGAGGTGAGACATAAGGAAATAAAATATATACTATATGCAGAAATTACTCACTCTTGAAATATTTCACTTTTCTTCCCCAGGTGGATTTAGTAACAGGCTTAGCAATTGAAGAAGCCTGTTATGCTCAGGTATGTAACATAACTGTACAAAAACTTCTCTGTTAAAGCCTACATAGAAAAATATGTAGAACCACAGCTTGAAATTGATGTGCTTTCTCCTAGCAATGTTTCAGGTATGGAATTTTTCCTTTCCATGTAGCATTTCTTTTTTTTAAAAAGGAAGGAAGGGAGTTTGAGGCAAAACGTCCTCTTATATGAAGGGGCTATTCAGGAAGGGGGCATGGCACTGTGCCATTCAGACATCCAGCCTAAGAACCAACTTGTGATTCAAGGGTGGTCTGCTGTGGGAACTATGTGCCAGAGCACCTGCCTAGTGCATGTTAATAGTAGCATGTGAGCTGACTCACAGGACAGCTTGGGTACACTTCCTAGCCCATAAGCCTGTAGAGCTGTGCATTGTGAAGTAAACATAGGCATGTCAAACATAAATAAGTTTGACTGTGGGCTGGAGAGCCTACTCTGGATCCTATCCATGGGGCTTCTCACTGCAGCTTATGTCAGTGCTGTCAGTGCCAACAGCCAAGGAGTTAACACCACAGCTGCTGAAGCCCCATTGCTGTGACTGCTGGGATAGGGACAGAAGTTACGCACTTAAAATGGTTTAAGTGATCAGAAACTGATTTATACCTGTAACAGAACACACATTCAGTGAACATAAATCAGTTTCAAAATAGCCAAAACTGGTG